TGACCTCATGGCTCCGAAACTCAATCCCTCTACCAATAAAACCTAACATACTGTACGCCTTCCTAACAACGCTATCAACCTGGGTGGCAACTTTCAGTGATCTATGCACATGGACACCGAGATCTTTCTGCTCATCCCCACTACCAAGAATCTTACCATTAGCCCAGTACTTTATCTACATCATTCCCTGTGGATACTATAAGTTTTAATTGCAAATACCTGTATCTTTTTCCCTCCATTCTGTATTTAAAGAAATGTTGATTCCTCCTCTCCATTCAATAACAAAGTTAATGTTGATAAGCTGAAATTACCTTTCTGAAGACAGGTTACAGCAAAACCTTTGAGAGTCACTGGTGTGGCTGGCAAATTTCTGTGAAGGCTGAGCACAACATACACGCTATATGGTTCCATCAACAAAAACCAAATTTTATAAATGAGTTTGCATGCACAAAACTTACATCGACAGACATGATATGTCTGTTGTGTTTCCTCGTCCATCATAAGCTATTGACTGTTCTGAAACCACCCAACTCTACGCCTGCCACAGCTCATCTGCTGCTAATATTTAATGCCTTTGTCAGCTCAAGATTTGATGACTCCATAGCTCTCCTGACTGGGTGACAAGTTGTTCGTTTTACTAAAACAGCTACTAATCAAAATAGTTGTAACTATGATGCCATTTTGCCTTCTGTGATTGTTCCATTGCACGCTAGCTTCATTCTCAGTATGCTGGCAGACCTTAATAACCTTATAAAATATGTTGTTTTCTGTCAACTTCAAAACTCTGATACATACATTGCATTCAGCATTTTGTCCTGCTCACCCATCAGCCCTATCCTTTGTGACCCCCTGTGTATAAACAAGCTGTACTCGCAGTTTAGACATTGACATTGACATTTAATTTTAGAGATTGCACCTGTATCATTGGAATCAATTTAGATTTGAATGAATGAGACTTCACGATCTATCCAGCTGAAAAATCAGGTCTTCATGAATGCCACTTCAGGTTAGTTTCCTTGACACATCATTTGGTCTT